CCAGCCAGCACCACATGAGCACTTTACACCCCAGTGAGTTCCAGTACATTTTCCCTCACAGCCTCCATTATTTACAAAGCAGTTTTTGCCTGGGGGGAAGAAACAGAAATAAGAAATCTTGACCATTTAAGTTGTTTGAGGTTCATACTATATGGTGTATGGGTGACTAGCATGCGATCTCTATTTATAGAGACAGGCATGATTACATACCACAGGTAGTGATCTCATCTGTTCCATCTAGACAGTCTCTCTCATCATTGCACATAAGGGACTCCATAATGCACTTCCCCTCATCACATTGGATCATGCCTTCTGGACAGGATGCTGTGTCAGAAAAAAAGAGTTGGTTTACTCCAGAGCTGGATAGGACACTAGCCACAGAACAGATTAAGTACATCAATATATTGGAGGCCATAAACTATCCCTCTCTCCCCACAACTCTGACCATCTGCATTTTGTTATAGAGAAACAGCTTAAGAAAACCCCACACAAACAAGCCTCCTTCTTCCCTACCCCCCCCCCAAAAAGAGTCCACTAAAAGCCACACAAGCCAGCAGCTTGCACATTAGGCATCTACATTCTTACCAGATGTCAGATGCAAGAGAGCTTAAGAGCTAGGTTAGAGGGTTTGAGTTTCATGGAGACTTGACACATGGAAGTTTGCCTACTTGGCTATGATGTAGCACAGCTGAAAGTAGTGTTGTTTCATCAAGTTAGCTTTTCATCCAATAGCTAGGAAGTGCAGCTTTGAGAGGGGCCAGGTACTACATCAAGTAGTATTAAGAGGGCATGTGTGATGTTACTATACAAGTTTTGCTTTCAGATGCATACCAGTTTATTTTGGAGCTCATTTGGATTCTCCTTTAGTGAAGACTGAAGTGAAACAGTAGCAGTTTCAGCAGTTTTAAGCTGAAGTGACAAGGCATTGAAGTAAATGCTAAGACCATCTCCCAGTTCCCATAGGATCAACAAGCTGGGTTTCCTTTTTGAAGGCATTAAATCACCAAGCAAGATTAGGTGTCTGGTACAGTTTTCATTGCCAGATTTTAGTTTGCTGGATAGATCCAGCCCAATTTCAGTCATCATACAATTGACAAATTGCTTATCCTCAGGAGAGTAGGGCACAGAAAGCTCACCAAAGGTGTTACTAGTAACATACCACAGACTTCTTCATCTGAAGAATCTCCACAGTTGTCAATGCCATTGCACTTCCAGTCTTCCATGATGCACACCTTGTTCTTACATTGCCATTGTCCTGGCAGACAGTGGCTCTTGGGACAACTTGCTTCATCTGAGCCATCTTCGCAGTCTTCATGGAGGTCACAGACTTCCCAAGTATCAATGCAGTGAGAAGTTCCCCGACAACGAATTTTCTTCTCTCCACATACTGTGGCAAAGTAAACATGCATTATAGGAACAGTCTGTAGACTAAGGTAAAGTCTAAGGAGCATTACAGGCTCATCTGATGCAGGGTCATCTTTGGTCATGAGAACCACTTCCTGAGCACTACCCAGTCAAAGAATCCTTCACTCAAGCCTACCTTGATAGGACTAACCCCAATTAGGTCTTTAAAAGAGCTATTACAGACTACCTTTGAAAGGCACTCAAGTGTTCACATCTAGCTATTAAGTGTCCAAGCCATACAGGATAATTTAACAACCCAACTCTTAGTTGAACAGCATCTCATGTATAGGGAAAGGTGGGGAATTAGGTGCATTCCAACTGGTACATGTCAGTTTAGTGTGTGCATGTTCAAGTGACTGTGGTAAGCTATGTTTACTTAAGAATAAAAGTGTAAGAACTAAAACTAAAAAAAACCCTGTCACTAGGTAGTTTCAGAGGTTCTTTGAATGCATCATCGATTATATCTGGGCTATGTGAAGTCCAGTTTGGAGTTGGCCATTTCTCCTGTAGTCTGCAGGAGAGAGAAGCATCCAAATTGACTGGCAAGCCATGGCATAGGTGTCAAATCAAAGTTACTTGCCTCAGCATGCATCTATTTCTCTTCCTGAAACCAACTTAAGTTCTCCTTAAAAGCAACATATTGTCAAGGCTTATGAGACAGTGCTGGTGCCATCTGAAGCTTCAGCTGCACACACTGCCATGAAGTGATGTAGTCTTCCATCAGTTGGCGTTCTGGCAGAAGATCTGTCATGGTGGGTATGGAAGATCCACGCACAACATGTCATGTCTTTTGCCCAGGAAGCCAACTTAAGTTTATAGAACACAAAGAAACAGGTAGAGAACTAGACTCCCAATATCTCAGCTTCTGTCATTGGGAGCAGCCCTAGTGTTCAATCTGAACTGAGTGCATGATCCACAACAGTAGTTTATCTAGTTGAACTACTAGATTTCTCATCTGTAGTGCATGCAATTGGTCAGCCCATTGTTAGATTAGCCAGTAGAGTACTTGGGTACACATCTCTAGAGAGATTCTGCTTCTAGATAGAAGAAGTTTTTTTGGATTAGCTTGATATCTTACATACCACAGTTTCTCTCATCTGAGCCATCCATGCAATCACTGACACCATCACAGAGCCAGCTACTAGAAATGCATCTTCCATTGTCGCATTGCCATGCATTTGGGTCACCATGACATGCTACTTCTGCATAAGAACAAGAAAAGATAGAAGTTAATTTGTCACAGCTGTTAGTAATACACAAGCCATTACTGCTACTTCAGGGTAGTGTTGGTATCCTTTGGATAAGAATGGTTCTGCTAGAAGGCAACCAATCCATTTACTTACAAGACCACCACTAGTACTAGTTTAATGCTATAATCTAGTTGCCCAGCTACAAAATTAGCTTGACCAAGGAGAGGTAATGGAAGCTTTAACAGCAATTTGTTTTTCCAGTGTTTACCTCACTTTATAAAGGAAAGGTTAATGGCATAAAAAAAAGCACAAGTAGTAACTAGTACTTAAAAAAGTACTCAAGTTTTGTTTTTTGAAGCTATTCACTAATCTAAGTCAGTTTGTTTAGGGGAATTCCTGACCTCAGATTTATGGATTCCCATTATTGCTGCAGTAACTTTTTGGCTGCAATAGCCATCCTGCTCTGCAAATGGCAACTACATCTTAGGTCTTAGAAAGCCAGATAAGCAGCTTCTGTGGAAGGTGGAACTGCACCTGGGATTTAAGTCTTTGCTTCACTGCAACCAATTTGTTCTTCTAAAAGCAAGCTAGCATCCAAGACCAAACAAGAACACAGCTTTTGGCAATCTATAGATCTTCCTCCATCTCAGCTCTATTAGAGTGGGTGCCAGAGGCTAGAGCCACTTTAGCTTTTTTACAGTCCTAGTTAAGTACGTAATAGGGGATAAAATTCTTTCTACTTGCAGTATTCTGTAAGACTAAGGCTTGAAGTTGTCAAGAAGCTTCAAGCTCTGTGTTTGCTTAGTTTCTCTGGCCAGTCCCATCATCCTCCAGGTTTTTGCCAATTAAAAAAACTTCCCTTCAGAAGTACAGCTAGAAGCCAGCAGAGCTGCTATGGGGGTTATGTACAGCAGGTTTCTGTTTTAGTGGGAAGTAATTAGATGACAGCATGCATTTCTCTCTCCAGCTAGCTGCTTGTTCTCCTACCTGAAGGAGTGAATAGTATTTCCCCCACCCCAAGCAAAAGACTTTTTTTTTTTTTAAACTAACAGAGTCTTCTTTATTCAGAATTTCACATGCAAGTTCTGCCCCCCCCCCCTTAAGTTTAATGCTAAATTGGAAGCATTTACTCCTGAATAATTCATCTTCCTGCAAAAGAAGGGGGGGGGAAAGGAAGAGAAGGAGGCAGGGAAGAGAGGTTGGCACATGCTACTGTATATACATTAGTGTAGATAGGTATTTGTTCCCCATATGGGAGTGGGCATTTAGATTCAGTTCTGTCAGCACTCCCAAAAAAAAATTTTTTATAGAGCCCTTCCATGGAAGGAAGGGATATTAGAACTTGTGTTGCAAGCAAGCCAGAAGCTTCGTTGTCAGGTAATCCTGAAGCAACAGCCAGGTTTCTGCTCCTGCCTTCCCCTTCTTTCAGCCACACCACTCTAAAAAAGGCCATTGAAAAGTTTACTTATAGGAGCAAGCCACCCAAGTAGACAGAGGACTTACCACAATCTTCATCAATCCCATTAGTACAATCATGTTCCCCATTACAAAGCCATGTTAGAGGAATACACTTTTCTCCACATGCAGCCTGCTGTGCAGTACCACAAGCTTGCTCATCTGCCAATAAAGGAGGCAAAAGTTAAAGGTTGTATCAGCAAGTGTGAACACCTGCCAGGCAAGTGCTTGCTTTGGCCAGTACCGTTATTGCTGGATCTCCTAAGTGGATCAGGCTTGGTCACACTTGCTTTCCAGATGGTCTCCATTCTGGAATGCCATCAGTATGGTACATTTTTAATGATGACAACATGAGGTAGCAAGGATCATGACAGTAAACCCATCAGGGGAGGGCTGATAACTCTGCCTGCTACTAACCCTGTGTTCCTGCAGGGGAGTTCAGTGCTTTTGACTACAGGATGTTCTTCTTTTTTTTTTTTTGGTGCAGTGGCAGGTACACCACATGCATTCTATAAAAGAACAAGCCTCACATTTGAAGTGCAGGTATAGCACAAGTCATTCTTTTCTACACAACACCCTTGAGGCAGACACACAAAGCCATTAGAAGTCTCCATTGCCTTATGAGCATCTTATTTAGTCACAATAAGAGAGGAAAGATCCTCAAAAGGGAATTAGGCTGGACCAACTGCTTTTCACACTCCCGTATGTAATCCGAGATCACAAAGCCACTCCAGTTTGTTATATGCTTAAGTCATTCCTAGTAAGTAGACTTTGAAGCTAGAGTTCTAGAATACGTCACACTAGCGATCAGTATATGTTCAGAAGCCAAGCATATGCCTAGTCACTTCTTGATCAAAACTAGAGGTTGTTGAACCCCAAATGAATGGCAGAGTCCCACATTTATACCAATTCCATGGTAACACCACCAAGTAATGGAGGCTCAATGTGCACAAACACAACACTAGGGCATTACTGGAAGTTAAGGCCCATGTTAGTCTTTCCCCATCAAGAATAGCCCCCATACCCACCAGAGCCTCAGACCTCTCTACCATCCTGGAGCACACATTACACAAAGTTGAAATGTAATGGAATCAGGTGAGTGTGTCTCTAGTTCCAAGTGACTAGTGATCAAGCAGAGCTTGACCATTGCACCCTGGTCAGTAGGAGAGTCCTCAATGAGCTGCCTATGGTTACTGATCAGACATACAGCAAGGCAGTGTTATGGAGAAACAGCTACAGCTGATCAGTGGTTTGTCACAGCCAACAGCTGTGGCCGACTCGGCTCAAGTATTGGACAGCCTACATGAACATGGCTTCTCTAACCCATACTACTGGTTTCAGCACTCACCCAGCAAGGGCAACTGCTGCAGCACAGTCCAACATGGTCTTCCCCTGGGGGCTGACTGAAGGCATGTAATGTGACTGATGGGACACCCAATTCAGTTCAAGAGGACCTTCTTGCTAAAGAGTAGAGACTTTCCTGTACTAAGAAAAAAGTTACCTAGCTGCACTAGTACCTCATTAAGCAGCAGAGAACAGCATGCCTGCCTTCAGCTACATGATTTTCCCAGAACAGGTGCCTGGGAGTTAGTCATACTTGCTTAGTACCTTGCAATCGCATAACACTAAGTGCTATAGACCCATCAAGATAGGGCTGGAAGCAACCTCAGGTGGTCATCTAGTCCAACCCCTGCATGCAAGTACTTATCTAACTTGCTCTTATGATCCAACCTGCTCTTCAACTAGTCCTTCAAAGGAGGTTCCACCACCTCCCTGGATAGCTTGTTACAGTGCCTGACTAACCATTTAAGGAGGAAACTCTTTTCAACATCCAACCTAAAGTTTCCTTACTGCAGTTACTTCTTGTTCTACACCCTGCAGCTATGCAGAGTAGTCCATCACCAGCTTTAAGTCATAGTAAAAGCCACACAGGAAAGCTGGCATGAGTGACCCACAGCTCCCAGCCACTTTTTAAGTGATAGAGAATCCTCAGATGCCCCCTACTTCAAAAGAGAAAATGGAGGCTGCCAAGCTAAGCAGGTATCCAGCTTGACATGATCAGCCCCAGGCTTCATGCAGGAGGCCCTACACAAGCTAGCTATGCTACATGGGCACACCAGTGCCCAGCCAGCCACCACTGGTGCCTTTCAGAGCCCACCTCAGTGAGGCTCCCACACTTAACAAGCATCCAGCTGCTTGGCGTGACCAGAGAGCACTTGAGGGCAAGACTTGTTGCTCCCCTGCCTGGGGCAGGGAGAGGGACCGCTCCCCCGGGACGCAGCCTGAGGAGGAGCGCGGGAGCCCTTGCCCCTTCACCTCCCGCACCCAGCCGCGCAGGGCGGGGACCCCCGGGCCAGCAGCGGCCAAGGGCCAGGGCGGGACCCCCTCCGGAGCCCG